GAGAAAGCTCATTTCGGCTGCCTGTATCCGGGATCTTGCCCTTTCGGTCATGACCCAAAGTTCATGACCATAGGTGAGAGTCGGAACGTAGATTGACCAGTAAATCGAGAGCTTCGCCTTACAGCTCAGCTCCTTCTTCACCACGACGGATCGGTACATCGACCGCATTACTGCAGAAGCTGCACTGATCCGCCTGTCAATCTCCCGTTCCATCCTTCCCTCACTCGTGAACAAGACCCCAAGATACTTGAACTCCTCCACTTGAGGCAGGAACTCTCCACCGACCTGAAGGGAACAAGCCACCCTTTTCCGACTGAGAACCATGGCCTCGGATTTGGAGGTGCTGATTCTCATCCCAGCCGCTTCACACTCGGCTGCAAACCGCCCCAGTGCATGCTGGAGGTCCTGGTTTGATGGGGCCAACAGGACAACGTCATCTGCAAAAAGCAGAGACGAGATCCTGTGATCCCCAAACCGGACTCCCTCCGGCCCCTGGCTGCGCCTAGAAATTCTGTCCATAAAAATAATGAACAGAACCGGTGACAAAGGGCAGCCCTGCCGGAGTCCAACACGCACTGGAAACAAGTCTGACTTACTGCCGGCGATGCGAACCAAGCTCCTGCTCTGATCGTACAGGGACCGGGTGGCCCTTAACCGGAGCACCCCCCACAGGGCGCTGCGAGGGACACGGTCGAATGCCTTCTCCAGATCCACGAAACACATGTGGACTGGTTGGGCAAACTCCCATGAACCCTCCGCCACCCTGAAGAGGGTAAATTAATAAACTACTGCATAAAAAATAGACAGAATTTCTGCTAACTTATTCTGTTGTTTCACAGTGTATCCATATAGTTCAACACAGCCGACATCAAAGTGAGATCTAGTGACAGCTATGCAGTGAAAACTAAATTAAAATGGGTCATACCTTAATGAAGCAGCATCCTGCATCTGAAACCTTTGCATTAAACATCAAAAACCTGTCTGGGTTTAATCCGCTCAGCAAAGTTTCTCTTGATACAGAAAAGTAAAATTAAGTAAAGAGTCTGCTGGCTTATAGGCCTCTAGGTCCAATCCTGGGACATCATCTGGTGTTTTGGTGAAATTTGGTTAAAACCCAGTCAAAATACTAGCTTTAAGTTTTTCCAAATAGACAGATGAATCAATCTATACCAAGAGCACTTTAGTGTGGACTAGGTCAGCCATGATGGAGAGAGACCTGCTCTGTCTTGCAGCACCATCTGCACCACAAGAGTTAATGCAGCTGGCTTTTGTGCAGGCTACTTGTCTCTATTTGGTTTTTGTGCACGTTAGTTGTATGAGATGATTAGTATTCGTTACTGTAAATGTGTGTGCACCTAATATTTTACTTGCCTTGCCCTCTTGTGCTCATACAGTATCTCAATCCCTTAAACTCAAAATCATTGTATGCTTCACACACAATTAAGATTATTAGTCTGACTTCCATAAAATAATTAAAGGATAAGGTCGGTCATTTTCTATATTTTGTTTGAAGGCCACACTCTGCCAACCTCTGGACATAGGAATATATCTTAACTGTTCACACTAAGGTGGCATATTTGAAACCTATTAAAGCTTCAAACACTGCCTGAGGTTTTTAGGGCTCCCTCTTTTATGTTATTAATTTGGGACAACAACAATTTGGGACAGACTTTCATTAGTAAATCCTCCCAAAACAGTAACAATCTGCAGTTATAGGCAACTACCTCCTTATACCTTCAGATGTTACTCTACGGAGAAAGTTTTAGAAGCCAGTATACGTTGGCTCTTTGTGGAAGTGTTGAGTTTGGTCTGAAATAACCCATAAAAGCCATAACATTGCTCATGTATGACCATGATTTTATTGCACAGTGTTTAGCTGACATTAGTTAATTTTGTAGGATTGCAGATCCAGTTTATAATATATAAGTTGGAATAAGTAGATAATTGATACATTTATATGATAACTTTTCTGATACAATTAAAATTAAGTCAACAATTTGGTTTTAATAATCAGTCATCACTACTTTTAAAACCTTTAGATTTAAACTAATTGTATTTTAGTTTGTGAAATGACCATCATCTGTTTCGGATGCCTCCTGGGCGCCTTCCTAGGGAGGTGTTCTGGGCATGTCCCACCGGGAGGAGGCCCCTGGGAAGACCCAGGACACGCTGGAGGGACTATGTCTCTCGGCTGGCCTGGGAACGCCTCAGCATTCCCCCGGAGGAGCTGGAGGAAGTGTCTGGAGAGAGGGAAGTCTGGGCATCTTTGCTTAGACTGCTGCCCCCGCGACCCGGTTTCGACATTACAAAACACCAGACCCTGAAAAGCCATAACGTTTTTACAGCATCTGAAATAAACAAGAGTCATGGGCCCTTGCACCAGATTTCTGGATATTCTTGACAAATATCAGGGGCTGGTGTTTCATATTGAGGAAATGTATCACTAAGTGCAGTGGTGTGCTTCCCTGATATTTTTAATTGTTTTTGAACAACTATGGAGGGCTATGGCACAGAAGAACAATCTAATCCAGGACAGACAGACTGATAGACATTAACTGTGAGTAGAGGCCATTCATTGTTGGGTTTAGTGTCTGTATAGGGAGTGTTGAAAGTAAAGTTAATATAGAAAATGGCCAGCCTTATCCTTTAAGGCTAATAACAGTCACAGTTCCAATCTATCTTTCTTTATTGCCAGCAAGAAGGGTTTGCACATTTCTGAAAAGGTTGCCGTGGTTCATGGATAGAGAAGCCACTTCTACATGCCCTGTTTGTGCTGAGAGAATCAATGTTTTACACCAACCTGTTAACAGTACATGGTTTAAAATACATTTTAAAAAACCAGCTTTGCAGATATTTCTTGAGGAAGGAAAGTCTTTTAACATGTTTCTCAGACCCCTAGGATACACTTTGTGGGGGATATTTCCTAAGGTTTACTAAAGAAAGTCTATCAAATAATTGATAGACTGTCCTGTTGGTATCTGGTCAGAACACGATGCAGGGGCCTTAACTTGGACAGAAGGCTTCAGTATGTATTACATTCTGGCTCCAACCCTGAAAATAACATACCAGAAACTATCTAGAATGCCTATATTTACAGGGTTTCCATGTGACATGAATGCAGCATAATCCTGGTTTAAATTTGCATGTGAACAGTCCATTTCAAAAGGTCTCTCCCCTCAACTTATTGCTCTTTTCAGTGAAAGGATGCTTGTAAATCTTCAGCTTGACCTTTCTGGTGATGCTGGAAAAGAAATTCCACAAAGTGAGGCCAGAAGTCTGTTCTCTGGAGCTTTAAAGGTTTAGAGGATCTGAATGCATTGCATCAGAAAATGAACCATAAATGAATTACATCCCATTTTTTTTATAGTATATGTTGCTGCTATGTCTGCCGCAGTTGTTACCCAGTAACCACCTTGTTGTGCTTGTTGTTTCACAACACAGCAGGATAAAGGAGAGGAGGCATCGGGGGGGCTCCCCTGCCCTGCCAGCCCAACGCCCCTTAACAACCCCCCTCCCCCCAGCCGCCCCACTCACCGCTGGCATGTCATCGCACGGCACTGGCTCCGCCAGACCCGCCGTCGGACCAGCGGGGTCCTCCCGGTAACTACCAGAACCTCCAGAACAAGCAGAAACATCAGATTGCCAGCACACTGAATCAAACACAAACATCCAACACCACACTTCATTAAAATCTGGACTTAGTTCAGCTGAGCAAAAAACTGGAACATCAGACACCTGGAACCTAATAATATGGAGCATAATCATGAAGCAGAAATCACAAGGAATTTTCTCTAGGCTCTTCAGAGGACTGATGTTAACTCATGGTATCTGCTACTGGAAAAAAACACCCGCTACTAGCACAGCAGTAAAGCAGGTAAAATGCTGGAAAAATGTTGCACTGTCAAGAAGGATTGATCATTCACTTAAGTAAAAATGGCAATAATATGATTTACTGTATGTTCTTGGTGCTAGATGAGTTTTTTCTCCTCTGGAGTTTTCCATTCATAAGATCTCTAGGATCACACTTAATCACCTCAGTTCACCGATCCTCCTGGACCTGGTGAATTAAATATAGTGCCGCAGTAATTCTGCTTTTCAGCAGAGAGATCCTTTTAAAAAACAAAAATCTAGGACAAAATCTGAATTCACAAATACAGTCTCTAGACACAGAAACTGAGGACACCAGGACTATGCAGCCCACAGTACAGAGCCTGCAGATTAGCCGGACATAGTCACTGATAAAGAAGCACTCACACCACCTTTAAGTATTCATTTCTCATGGCTTCAGTAGGCAAAATCTCATTGTCAGAGACCTTCACTAAGAAAAACATAGCACACACTTTCCAAAAATGCTACAAGTCTATCTTACAATTTTTATCTACATGCCACTACCTACAGTACACATTTCCACTGCAAAGTCCTCTCCCTTTTCACTGAGCTAAGATGCAGCACATCCTCTACATGCATCACGATGGGGTGGGAGGTATAAGAATGCGACGTGTGCCACCTGCTGGTCCGACTGTCAAACTGTCATCACTCTGATACATTGCATGGAACCACAGGTACTAAAGATGCTCTTTCAGTTGGATATGCTCCCTTCACAGCTCCTTGCTGGTGATGATACAGTAGCATAGTGCAAAGGTTTTTAACTAACTTAATAATATTTGAAGTTGTTGTGTTCCTCTGTAGGGCAGCTTCAGGTCCTGTGGTTTCTAGTGACATCTTTCTTTCTCTGTAGGTGTGTCACTGATCTGATTTTGTTCCCTCAGTGGAGGGCCACTCCTGTCCATTTTCCCCAGTTGTCACTGCTACTAAATATTTATTTTACTTCCTTTACTCTTTTTTCTCAGCCTTAATCCACCATGATTCCTTTGACATTATGTAGATTATCCATTTCTAACCCTGTCATATTTTTTTCAGAAATCAATCCAGATTTGTACAGTGTGAATACCATCTGTGTGACAGTTCTTACTAGTGTCTAACCTCTTGTGTGCATGTCCTTATTGTTTTGATGTTGTTGTTGTTGTTGTTTTTGGTCCAGATGTTCCTGCTTTGCTGTAAGCTTCACAAAGGCAACAGCGCAGGAATAGGCTCATAAATGACATGCGCGGTAATGACACATGTTAGGATCAGTGAATGTCTTGGATTCCAGTCATCAGAATGAATGTAGTTATTTTTGTGCATCTCTTCTTAAATTAAGAGTCAAGACTGTATTCTGACTAAAGCAAGCACCTCCCCTACAAGACAGAATACATTTTCTTCAAGACCTCCAAATCATATTTTGCCTGATATCAAATTGAAAGTGTGCAAACACTGGATAGCTTTGACTGGTACAGCTGACACATTTAATGAAGCCAGCTTTTCAGCAATTAGTGTCTCTGAATGTTTTAATTTATTTTGACAGTATAGGAGACAGGCTGGCTTGCAAGGAATCAGATTCCCCTTGCCAATGTGGCCAGTAAAAAATAAAATAAATTTATGGCACAATTCTATGTCTTCTCTTGGTTCACAGACATGCAGTCATGGCCAAAAATATTGTCAGCCCTGCATTTCTGTCAGATAACGTACCACTTCTCCCAGAAAATAGTTGTGATCACAAATTCTTTGGTGTTCTCATGTTTATTTCTTTTGTTTGCACTAGAGCAACAGAAACAACAGAGAGAAGTCTAATCTGATCCATTTCAAACAGAACTCCAAAAATAGACTGGACACAATTATTGACACCATTTCAAAATCATTGAAAATCACTGTATTTCCATCATAATTTTTTAAAGAAACTCTGAAGTGGCCAGCAATGAATTGAGGTCTAGATCCCATAGAGCTCCTGTGGAGAGATCTCAAACCAGCAGCTGGGAGAAGGAACCCTTCAAATATGAGAGACCTGGAGCAGCTGGCAAAAGAAGAGGGGTCTAAAACTCCAGTAGAGAGGTGGAAGAAACTCACTGATGGTTACAGGAAGCGATTGGTTTCAGTTATTTTGTCCAAAGGGTGGGCTACCAAATACTAAGTTGGGGTGTCAATAATTGTGTCCAGTCAATTTTTGAAGTTCTGTGTGGAATGTGTCAGATTTGTCTTTTTTCTGCTTTTTGTGTTGATCCAATGCAAACAAAAGAAATAAACATGAGAATACTGGAGAATTTGTTATCTGAGGGAAATGCAGGGGGTGCCAATATTTTTGGGCCATGACTGTAAATGATTGTTGAGGTGACTTGCTTTGGGGAGAATCTGGATACAGCACTCTCTCTCATCCTGTATTAAATCATCATCATTCCTCAATTTCTACTGTTGATGTACTCTGTTTCCCACATGCACTTGAGTAAATTATAATCATTGTCTTTCCAGAATGAGATACATTAGAATAAAATGTGTATTTGGCCCTAACTGCAGTCATGATGGTGTATTAAATTGCTAAATATTCAAGTAGTAGTCAGAAAATCCAAATGCCTTAAAAATGACCATCAATTTTACCCATCAGTGTCAGTTTACTCATGATGGGGAGCACTACACAGCCTGTGCCAACAGTTGTATTATGAATTGTCTAACATGGGTGTTTACAACAACCACCATGGCATTGCATTAGTTGCATTATGGGACATTTTTAAAGTTCAACTAAGGACTATAGGGAATATTTACAAAGGTTTTGCGGCTCACTTTTGGGTGCTAAACAGTAAAGTTGCACAAGTTCATATTTACTGAGGAGTTGCAATGGGGTTTTGACTTAGAGAAATAAAAGAAAAACAGCACCACAGGAATTCCACATGTGGTTTCCTGCATTATGTATTTAAGGTGTTTCCATTAAGGGACACAAAATAAAGGAGAATGGAAATTTATACAAATACTTTCAGCGCTAGAGCAGATCTAGAACATTTTGGACACTGTGGCCTGGCTGGGGCACACACTCACAGAGCGATGGCACATTTGAAATAAGTGTAAAAATGTATTTAACACACCAATTCTTGAAACAATAAACCATACATTATTAAGAATTAAATAGTTTATTCTGTGTAAAAATGTGAGTATTTTCTTTAGCCAGCTTTGGCTGGGCTCCTTATTTTCTCCTGGACATCTATGCTGCACAATGGTTCCCTCTCGGTGTTACCAGCCAATCAAATTCTGGGGATTGGCTGCAATATTTTGTGCACCTGATGGTAATTTGTGACGGGTTTAGTAAATGTCTCCCTAAAAGTCCAACCATCTTGAGCTTTTGTTATATCAGTATTGACAAATTTTGCTAGCAAATTCTTGTTTTTTTGTGCCTAGAAAGGGAGCAATTAATGCTAAATTAAATATATAACATACATTTCTGTGTATGTTTAGTAAGAAATGAACATGATATACTACTAAGGTGCTTGTGGGAAACAGTGTTTTCTGTGTCAGTGGTCTGGGCCTACACTTCAGGTCCAACAATGGATGCACCCTTGTGTGAGGGAAAATGTCTCTGTGTTTTAGTATAAACTACTCATGTCCTTCCTTTTTCATTTTTTTTCTGTTCTTTATCTCTCTCCTCTTCCAGCAGGAAAGCTGTGAACAGCTGATGCCGCCAGGGGATTGGAAGGTATGAGCTGTGTCTACTGTTGTTGTGGTGTAGAGATTCTCTGCCTCCCTTGATCCTCTCTGTTACATTTTCTTATTATTCCTCATCTTTCTTTGTTGCTCATCTATTTGTGTTTGGTTAAACAGTGATGCTTGAGTCAACATAAAAAAGAAAAAAGGAATCTGCAGATATTTGTAATTTCACAGGGCTAATTATAACAGCGCTGATAATAATTACTTTAAAGTAGAATGTACAACCTTCAAGTGAAGTTCTTTATTGCCCTTTTGACATGTACAGAAGTACTTGTAAACAAGACACCTTGCGCTGTTACCTCATTACAGTTAACATCACACAGAAAATACAAGCATAAATGCAAAGATATGCAAAAAAAGCACTTGTCTTCAGTAAGATATCCATTACAAAAGTAATGTTGACCCTGCATCAGACAACAAAACCTGAAAAAAGCAAGGTCTAATTTATAAAAACAGCATGTAAATAAAAAGAGAATACTGTATACCATGCATGAGAGGTCAAGAACAAGACTGATATTGCACTTAAATAAATTAAGTGCAAAGGCTCATCTCAGTAAGTCCTCTACAGACCCAGCTGAGGGGCTGAAGGCTAAGTGTTGTTTTTTATTAAAGCAACCTTACAAAATAAAACCTCTGCTGAGCTTTCTTTACCACTGCCATGGTATTGGAGATGTGTATTCCCAGGGTCTTGAAACTGTCAGTCTGCTCCAACTCAGTTCCATTGACATTCTGAGGTTTGTCTTGCTTGTCTTTAGAAGTTTGAAGCCCCTTTCAGACATGGTAGCTGTGAATTTGCAGGCGCATGTAGCCATGTAACAATAGTTTTTTTGGCATTCAGACATACAGCTGCTGTGACTGAAATGCACAGCAAGGCTTTCTTCAAATATAGCAGGACGTAGCCAGGTACAGTTACAACGTTCATGTGATGTCCAGCATCACACCAGACAGACTCATCAAAGATAAGCAGTTTTTTTTATTTCCATATCAGACCAATTTGCAGCCATTCTCCTTTAGCTCATGCTGTAAAAAGTATCTTCCCTGTACCAGTTCCAAACAAACATTGTACAAGCTAGGGATGTCACATTTTTATACAGTATTTGTGACTTAAATCAACTCTACAAAGAGAGGAGGAGAGAGCAGCGGGTGGTTGTGCTAGAGTGAACGAAGAGAGAGAGAGTGGCATTAGCAAGAACATAACAGTGAATCAGAGAAAACGTTGTGTCATGGATGGTGGAAGTATGTCTTATGGAGCACTTTCATCATTTTCAGGGTGCTATTACAGTAATAACAAGGCCAGGACTGTTAGATAATGTTAATGTAGTGGTACATAGAATTTTCACCTGACCCGTGGACCTGCTACCCAGAAGTATTTTTCCCCACTGTACGTTCCCCCTGACAATTCTATTCATCACTATACACATGCCAAAGTGTAGATTGTGTACATCTACGAGAGTCCAACAGCTTTGAAAATTTCTCAGTATTTGACAGTATGGTAATGAGATTGGGTTTCCAGGATATACCTGCCTTTCAGCCAATAATTGGTGGAATAGGCTAAATTGCTCTGCAACCTTGCACAGGGTAAGCAGAAATAATGAATGGATAGAAACTGAGTTGGTGATTTCTTAGCTGAGATTTCATTTCAGTTCATTTATACTGCTTTGGGACCAGTTCTCTCACACTTTGGAGTTTCAAGGTGTGCAACACTTTAGCTTAGGAAGCTAAATAACATGTTTTTAATTAGCTAACATAGTGTATCATTACTCTAACTTGTTCTTGAATTGTAACATTATCATACATTTGTTATTCAGCTAAAATTGTAAGTTAAAACTTTGCTAAGTGTAAGCTTAGCTTAAGACAGACTTTCATTAGTTGTATGCTGTAGCTCTACTCTCAGCTGTATTACATCAGAATCAGGATCAGAATCAGCTTTATTGGCCAGGTGTGTTGGACACACGAGGAATTTGACTCTGGTACATCGGCTCTCAATGTGCAAACAGTAAACTAGCATAAGGCTGTGTAATATAACAAAAATAAGCAGTATTTACAAGCAACAGAAAGTGCAAACAATGCAGAATAAGCACTATGAACAGACTGTAAACAATGCAGACAACAAAGGAATGTTCTTTGAAATGAGATAATTAGGGATAAAAATAGAGTACTTAAAACAGAGTACTAGAGACCTGT